AGGCGCGCCTGTCGGAGACGCCGGGCGAAGCCAAGCAAGCTGCTGCAGCCGTCAGGATGCTCTCTGCTCCTGCCTGGCGGGAGGAAAGCGCACAGAGAATAAATAAACCCTCCGGAGCCTCCCGTCGCAGGCCTTCCTGAGCAGAGCCAAAGCCAGGCAGCTTCAAACAGCAGCCCAACTGGGAGCAGCTGCTTTTAGCGCCAGGGAAAAACCATTAACCCCCTCCCCAGCTCCCGGTTTGGTCTCTGGCAGCAGCCGCCACAGGCCTGGCGTCGCCTTGTGTCATTCAACACAGGCCCTGGCGCGAACGCGCGCTTCCCACATGAAGCCAGAGGCAGCTCTGACAGCAGCCGTGGCCTGCAGGTGGGGCATTGTTCCTTCAGCGGGGGAAGGGGTGTAACAATGGCCCACACCTGCCAGGCCTGCCCCCCAGCTGCGATGTGCTGGAGTCAGGTAGGGAAATTTAACTCCCCCTCCCCAAAGAGGGAGCTTTGAGAAGCCAGGTGTTGGTACCTTTCCATTGAAACAGGCCATGCAAATGGCTCTGCGCCTCCTATGGAAATCCAGCTTTTGAAAGTGAAATGCGCCGCCCTGCTCCTCGACAGCTGACGGCTCCGTAAACAAACCTCGCGGTTCATCCGCTCGCCAGCAGAGCTGGCTTCCTGCCTGGGGCTGGAGGCACCAGCACCGGGGTGGGGCCCGGTGCGCCGCTATCCGGATTTCTTCCCGTTTCCACACAGCCGAGTTTCAGCTGGAACATCCCGAGCTGCACACCCGTGCGGTCACAAGCCCCCGTGCGCTCACAAGCCCCCGTGCGCTCGGGTTCAGCACTAGGGGCAGTTTCTGGGGCACAGCAGCACAGAGGGGGTTTGGTAGAGGAGCAGGGGAAGGCAGACTGTTCTCATTAGCAACCAAGCAGAAAAGTGAGGGGTCTACATTCTGACCTGCCCAGGGCACACATCTCTGCCTGCTGGAGTTTCGTAGGAGCTGAGTGGATGCAAAGGAGCAAACCCCAAAGCGCTGTGGGATTAAGCTGCAGGCGCACGGCAGCCCTGTTCTGGCTGATGCCAGTGCTGTGTCACATTTCCGTCTGGCATGAGCACAAGGCCTGTGGGCCTTTCGACTGTTCTCTGCCAGCTACAGGCTCTGTGTGGAGTCAGCACTCCTGGGCTTTGAACCCTTTGCTCCAGGAAGCCCGGCCATTTCAAACGTGACTATGGGAGCAGCGAGCCAGCCCCGGCGGCAGGGACCCCAAACCCTCCCCAACGCAGGAAGTGGGATGCGGAAACAATTCCACCCCACCCGGAAACGCAGGAACCGGGGGGGGCTAAGAGTCAAGCTCTGCAGAAGCGGCAAGGGCAGCCTCGAGATTCATTTCTCTTCTGAGCATCAGCAGCTTCTCAGCCCCCCCCCATCCACCCAGGCCACTTTCAGCCACAGGAAGTTTCCTCTGAGACGGAAAGTCACGCTTGCCTCGAGGGACAGCGAGGGAAGCACGTGCAGCGCCTCTGAAGGCAGCTGGGAGTGACGCCCGGCTGGGCTTTGCATGCCAGCCTGCCGGTCAGCATGGAGGGGCTTGGAGCTGCAAGGAGCCAGAGTCACACCCCAAACCAGTGCGCAGGGACCCTGCGTGGAATACCCGTGTCCTAGAGAGCACAGGGCCACGAGCTGCCTTCAGCTAGTGCATGGCAAAGGGCCCGTCTCGCCGCCTCCCCACCTCTGCTTCAATGACCATTTGCTACTGTGCCCCAGCCCTTCTGCCCCAGTGCTCCTATGCACAGCCTCCTGCCCCCTCTGCCCTTCAGAGCCTTCCTCCTGGCCACAGTAGCAGAGTCAAAAGCAAATGCCAGCGACTCTCCTGCCAGCCTCCCAGCACGCCCCATCTGATCGGCCTTGTTCAGCAGCCCTGGTATGAAAAACAGCGTCCGTCATCCCCATAACTAGGTGAAAGTTAAGGGTGTCATCAATCCTCATGCTTCTGGGCATGGCTGCCATCTGGGATCAGGAAGGAACATCTCCTTTCCGGCTTGCTACTGGGAAACCTGCACAGCCATGGGGTTTGATGGCTTCCCCCAAAGCATGCTCCAAAATGGGTCCTGGCATCCAGTTCCTTTCCAGCTAGAATTCGGTGTGATGTGACCTAAGCCAAACCCTGCCGGTTGATGGACATCC